TTTCCGAAATCACCAGTTTTTTTGAGACCAGCATCGTGTTAACGTCTATGAAACAATGCTTTCCGCCTACCAGAATGCCATGAAACGTTTCATTACTGGCGACGAGTCTTGGATCTATCCTTACAACCCGGAAACAAACGATCCATCGGCCGAATATCGTGGAAAAGGTGAGCCAAAGCCGAAAAAACCGAGTCAAAGCAAGTCAAAAATCAGGGTTATTGTGACAGTCTTAAATGATTGGGGTGCGGTGTACTCCGAATGCCTTCCGACCGACCAAACTGTCAACAAGGAATACTATTTGAGTGTTATGMGTCTTTTGCGCAAAACTAATCGTAAAAAGGGCCGGAATTATGGCCCACAACTCTTGTTTTTTTTTTTTGCACGATTTCTCCGYCGCACACTGCATTGATTCTTCGTGATTTTTTTGCCAAATTTTCAACCAATATTGTGACGCAACCACATTGAAGACCATTGACTTTAACAACTGTTTCGAGGATTAGAAAAAATTTTGGCACAAGTGTGTTGTGGGCAAAGAGGAGTCGAAGTCTTGCTTTTTTTTTTTTGTTTTTTCGCTCATAGTAGGATCACAAAATAATACTTCGTTAAATAAAACGAATATATATAGGAGGGAAAAATATTGAAAAAAAATACCGTCTCTACTGCCTTTCCAATAGTCCAAATGACCAAAACTTCTACAAAGCTAATGTAAATAAACAAGAAAATCTCACAGTCACTCTCCCTCTCAAGTGTGTCCTTCATTTGTCCCTAAGTAACTGCATACAAAAAATAAAAATATAAGCTAAAAAGCTGAGACAACAAAAAGAAATGTTAATGGTGTAAATATTTAACGGAACATTAGTGGAAATTGCTTCAATATATTTATATATGTACTATATAKGTATGTACAGAAATCTCATTTGTGCTGTCTCAATTGATAGATCTAAAGAAGTTTAAGTCAAATGAGACGCCGGGTACACCCGTATCCAAATCAGTCAATTAACATAAACATTAACGAAAGTGTAGCCGTCAGCACTTGGGCATAAATTCACAGAAATCAATTCCCCAAACAATTAAGCACACGTACACTTTCAAAATGTTGTTCTTATATTTATTTTTTCCTCTTTTGTTATTTATTTTTATGATTTTCGTGTGTCTAACTATTAGTGTAGTAAATTCAGTGATTAAGTTAATCGCTCTTTAAGGTTGAGGTCTTGCCTTGACTAGCCAACGCCACATAACGGTAATCACAAATGCGTGCACAATATTTAAACAATAAGAACAACTGATCCTACCTCAACGACACGACACGTGAAACAGTTATTTCAAATTCTTACTGTTTATTTATGCATACTTTAAGGCGTTGCACCAAGGCGCTGCAAGCATTTCGGTCTCACGAMGGTTAAATATCGTTAATACTCATGTTAAAGTGTGAATACAAAGACAAAGTTAACGACTTTATTGCAACGGAGTATGTGGATCAGCAGAATTATGTTTATATTATAGGTTGGTCTGGTAGACTGGTGAGCCTCGGATACACTTTCTCTTTACAATGTCTGATGGAGTGTAATTACGCAGTTAATGAGTATTAGGCATCCTTCAGGATGTCACCATTTGTATTGAACTTCAATAGATTCTGCGACCTCACTATCAATTCATCTTCCAGTCTCTAATACTGTGTGAACAATTTTTCTACATTATGTCTTGACCTTCTTTTCCAATTGAAAAGCGGGTTATGCAGTCGGTACTTGCCAACTAGAGTAAAATAAGTCCAAAAAATGGGAATTGAAAGGAATGATACCAAAAAAGGACATGATGATTGAGATTAAATGATTGAGACTAACCACTAAGATGAGTTCTGTTCGATAAACTAATCATAGATATTGCCTCYCAATTCTTAATAGGATTTATCTTAAAAATCCTTTACACAAGCCCAAAGCCTTAATAAATAGTGATGTAAAGAGTTCTTACTTTAYCTAAGACTAATGGTATCCTGACATTTTCTACTTAAATTCCTTCTTTCCAATAAATGTACTAGAAAATGCTCACACGACTGTTAGATCAAAAGGTTTGAAGGACTTATTTACTCTAATGTATATGGGAGGAGCTGGAAACTTCTTCCACAAACATGTCAACATAACTTGAAACTTATTGTCAATCAACTTTTCTTTGTATTTYACACTTGAACACAGCCAACTTAATACAAAATATCTGTCAGTCCTTCTTCACAGTCTTAACACTGGATCATTATCTCTTCACCTTCAAATAGATGACGTACTGCATCTACTTTGCCAACACATTCAACTAAAATGTTAAAGCGATTTCTTATATAACCATTTTTAAATATTCATCAATGCTAATGGATTTCCACCGTAATGTGAGTTTTGTTRTAAACTATTAACATTGTTGTGGCGCATCAGCAAAAGTTTTCCGCTTTTCAACGCCCACAACTGCCAACTCACGGAATCYTTAATGACACTTAATGTCCGCATCGGACTTTTAGGTTTTTGTGATTTTATAAATGAGTGATGTGTGTTTGTTTCACTTGTTTATGAGCAGGTGCATTCTTTGACACCTTTGAAGCAATCAATCATGACATTAACGAGTATTTAATTTTCAATCAAAATGCAGAAAAGGGTGTTACTATTTGCAACTCATGTTGAACAATTGACAGGGTTTTCCAATAAGAGTGTTGTGATTTAGACGACTTTTTTAGCAGAAACGARTTCGATGGACACAATTTTTGGACTACTTTTTCCACTAAATCAAGTCGTATGTAATGAATATTGAATTCAAAAGCTTGAAGAGAGTCTGGTTTATTGCTAAAGACAAATGACTCCAAATAGCCTTACAAGAAGTAATCTAATGGTGTTAACTTACAACTTCTTGTAGGCCATTCAATGTCACAATTTCTTGAAAGAATCGAATCTCCAAACTTTTCTCGGTTGYTGCATGTGCGGAGTGGCACGTAGCCCGGTCTTGGTTCCCACATCTTGGAACCAGATGTTGTAAGATCTTCCAATTACRGCCACAAAAARTTTGTTATCATCGATCTATACCGCTTCCCATTAGCAGTAACGGTATCACCAGTTTCATTTCGATGTAAGTACGGTCCGATGATTCCRGAACACTAAAAACCACAGCAAACCGACAATTGAGGTGAATGTAATGGTTGTTCAYGAACAATKTGTGGRYTTTCTTCGCACTAGCATCGATAGTTTTATTTATTTACTCCTCATATAACCTCATCGGAGAAGATTTTGGCGTTTGATGAAGGCTTTCAAACTGATATGATTTGTGTCTTAAAATGTCGAAGTCGGTACTTAAGTATGGATATAATAATATGTCATATAAGGTTTTTAAATCAATTTAGGTTAAATTAGATTCCCTCCCAACGATCCATGGATCTTCCGTAGACCATTCCACTGAGTAACTTACGATCCAACTCAACAGTTGGCAATGCAGAAAGTCTATGAATCGCTACGGTGAACTTTCATTCTCATTTTAATTTCGAAAGGAAGCCCGATAACCTTGTAACATAGACCTCTAAAAGTTTGTGAACATTTCGCTTATTTTCTTTCTTTTCTCCACAGCAAATTGAACTTAATATTTATCCCCATTAACACATTATTTTTGAAATGTCTAAGTTAGCAAAATTTAGTTAGAGGCTTATAATATATAACAGGCTACCGTCAGTTTCCATCTCCAAAGCATCGATTATTACCAACCAAAGTGCACTGATTACCAAAGGACAAAATAACAGCTACTAACACCTCGATTAACGCTTTGACAGGGACATTKTCTCTGACAACAAAGTATAGGACATGAAGACAACCTCCTCCCCTCCAGCCAGGATACGATTAAGAGTGTTATTGGATGTACCAACCTAAGCACAAATATAAACCCTCCACCTTCAAAGCATACATGATCAACCAATCAGGTTTCAACCAAAGTCCACCGCCTGCTAAAGAAATCCCTAAATAAAGTGAGGAAAAGCTGTACCAGAGTACAGTCTTTATGCAAGCCAAGAGTGTCAAGGGGCAGACTGCCGGCACCACAGTTGACGAAGAGGAAATAAAACGCCAAAAGCAGAAAACGGAAGAGTATGAATGTTTCCTGAAAAGAAAACCATCCAGAACCACCTGTCGAAAGCAACAGCGATTTCCTGAAAAGGTATCGCTCAAAATATGAAACAACATGAACTCTGCCCAAAAACCCCAGACAATGAAMAGAGAAGAACAGTAGAGCAGCAGCCAGGCACTTGACCGATGCAGACAGAGACAGAGATGGCCTAAGATTGTCGAGTCTTTGTTAAGTAAATTAGTAAGCTATGTATTAAAAAATCCGTCGGGTCACCAAATGCGCGAACCAGGGCTCCTTGACTTTTCCGAGGAGTAGTGTTGCTAAAATTAGAAACTATTAAATTGAAGCTTATAGGCCAAAGATATCCCAAGGAGACCTCGTGCTTGCATTGACTCCCCCCTCTATAGGAGCAACGTCGAAAAACTCCTGCAATACATCACCCTGCAAAACGGGTCAATAAGAAGATGTCAAAAAAGCCAGCAAAGCCGAAAGCTAAAAGTAAAGTATAATTAAGGGCAAGGCGCAAACTTCGCTGAAGTGAATATATTTCTTAGATAATTTTTTTTTACCAGTTTATACTTTAATTGTTAAGCCATACCTTTTAGTGAAAATGTCAAACTTAATGATACGAGGTTCTGTATTTTACAATCAATTCTGATCTGTTTGACAACCTCAACTTATCAAACATTCTACCCGAAACGTCACTTCGATTTATCATAATATAACATAGTTACTTATCTCTTTAAGAGAAAAATTTCCTACGGTGTTGTTTAGAATCGAGCTAAGCATGTATATAGTAGTATGTATGTGCTATATTCCCTTAAGGTTAACAGCAATTTTTCCAAATTACAGCAACTAATTGACGAGCTTTAATCACGCCTCGCTCCCGTAGTGAGCCACCGCGGTTTGCGGCGCGTATAATGGCACAAAACGGTAGTTGGTCAAGCAGCAGTGGTGGCAGCTCATCCTCGTCGGCCGCGCAGAGTCGCGGACTAGCGACAGCAAACGGTCCGCAAGAGGAACGTTTAGTGGTTGGTTCAAAAGATTTATTATATTTTTATTATTATACATAACTTTTATTATTTTGTCTAACCACTTTCTAGGTTGTTGTTCGCGTGCGACCGAGCGATGAAAGCTCYGATCATTGCATTGACGTGATTTCGGACAAATCACTATTATTTGATGATGGTGGTAAAAGTCGACCGAGACAGTACTCGTACGATCATGTTTTCAAAGAATCAGACACGCAGGTAAGCAATTATGTGGAGTTTATTTTGTTGAGCACAAGAGGTTCAATAGACAGGAGGTSCAACAGATTGCCTAACTAAATAACCAAAAAATTTTATATTAAATAGAATTTTATATTACAAAACTTAAAGAATCAAGTGAACACTGAAGATATTCTTTATTATAATTAATTGTTAAAAAACATAGGAGCGGGTCTATAAGAAAACGACAGCTCCCTTGGTTAAAGACGTGCTCAATGGACTTAACGCTGCGGTTTTCGCTTATGGTGCCACCGGTTCGGGCAAAACACACACCATGTTGGGTCCCTGTCGTAAGAAAGGTACTTCAACAGCCAACGAACGCGGCGCCACGGCAACTTACGATGTCGATGCCAATAACAATGAAAGTGGATTGATGGTGCGAGCCATCGAGGAAATATTTCAAAATATCGACAATACRTCAAATAATGGTAGCAAGGTTAGTTGTGTGACTAATTGTTTGCATACATTCTTCACAGTATTACTCAATTACTGCAGGTATCCATTTCCTACTTGGAAATATACAATGAGCTTATTCGTGATCTACTGAACCCTGGCGGACCGYTRGAACTGCGTGAAGATAATCGCGGTCAACGCATAACTGTCGCCGGTCTCTCGGAGATCACCACGACTAGTCGACAAGAGGTCGTTTCGTTRTTGCTYAGGGGCAACAAAGCACGTACCATGGAGCCGACAGCAGCCAACCAAACATCGTCACGCAGCCATGCCTTACTCAGTATTACCGTACAGACGAAAACACCGTTGGGCACAAAACAGGGACGTCTCTTTCTCACCGATCTTGCTGGTTCGGAACGTGCTAAGAAGACTAAGAATCGTGGTAAGCGTTTACAGGAAGGTGCACACATCAATCGCAGTCTACTGGCGCTTGGCAATTGCATCAATGCGCTGTCGGGTGGTGCGCGTTACGTCAACTATCGTGATTCGAAGCTTACGCGCTTACTAAAAGAGGCATTAAGTGGCAAATGCAAGACGGTTATGATTGCGCATGTCGCACCCGAAGCTAAGCATCGTGACGAAACCAAAAATACACTTGTATATGCGGATCGCGCAAATAGTATTTCTACACGCTTACAGAATTCCGTTTACATTGATGAGGTCAAGAACTTTCCCACAAAACACTACCAAAATCTGGTAACGGAATTGCGCGAGGAGGTAACACGTCTGCGTAGTAAAATGCTTACTGAACGACCGCGTAGTGGTGCAGCGGCAGCGGCTGCGGCTCAACCGACGCGCTCCACCGAAGAGGATGAGAAACGTAAAACGGAAYTACGCTACCTGCGCGAACAGATCGTGCTCACGTTCAAGCAACAAATGAAGCTGCGTCGCAAGCTGCTCGAAGCGGARAGCCATTTGCTCGGTTTGGAGCTTGATGCAGAGCGTCAGCACATGATCATATCGCATTGGCAAGGACGCATGGGTAAACTTTACGATTCACCGGCTGACGACGGTAAGGCAACCGAAAAGACTATATATACATATATATATATGTGTTTTATTTTTAAAACATTTTTACGCATTTCCTCTAACTAAAGATATTGAATCGGAAGGCGCGATTGCCTTGAAAAATGCTTGGGGCGAACTCTCGGCAATCGAGAAAGAGACAAGGCGCTACAAAGAGATCCGTGAGCGTACTGAACAAGAACTTGAAATGTGTCGGCAAAAAGGTGTGCAGTTAGAAGATGTAAGTACTAGCAATTGAATTTGAAAAGTATTTTTTCAAGTTTGAAATATCTTATGCTTGTAGGAACTTCCGGAACGCATTACCAGCGATGAAGAGCGCGAATTGTTGGCGCTACTTTGTCGCGTGCATGAATTGGAAGCCGACAAGGTGTCGCTACAAGCTGAGCGCCTAGCAAGGCAGGCTGAGCTGAGACGACGCGACCTGCAGCTGTTGCGTGCCGAACGTCAGCGGCGTTTATGTGAGGATATCATAAGTTCACAACGTCGTTTGATTGAGGAAGGCAATGTCGAATTGCCCGACGAGCTACGCGAACTTTACGGTCTATACCAGCAAGAAATACATGCTGGCGTTGTTACGCCGTCCACATCTTATGAGCGTAAATTGCCGCCAATCTATACGGCTGGGTAAGTTTTTAAATATTTTGCTRTTTTTACCTGAGAAATTCAAATACACATAACAATGTATCAGCACAGCATTACCTTCTGTCACTTATATACAATATTTGCGTATCTATTTGCAGTTCCGAATCACCCGGTTCTAGTTCCAGTTCTGAATGGTCGCCTGGTTCACCGCTRCCGCCGATCGACAGTCAAATACTTAGCGCTTTTCAAGATGGCCCGGATCGACACATGGGACCTCTTGTTAATCCACGTTTACCGAAATTATCCGCGACAAATACACCATCTACACGACGTGGCACCTCAATACGAATGGCTAAACATGCGCCCAACAACACTTAAGACCCGACAATGAGCAACCGAAAAACACACAGCCTTCAAAAGCRCAAGAGCTTCATTTATTTGTAGAAAATTAGGCCTAGGCGAATGGAAAAGTTTTTGCTCAGGGAAATATGATAAATTTTATTTATTTATTTTTCTTTCTCAAAAACAAGGCAAGTTTAAAAAAAAATAGAGTCGGAAACTTTTGGTTGGGTATTACTTTTAAGATGAAATTTGCAATTAAATATAAAAAAATTATGAATAATGAAAGAATTTGAAATAAAGCACACAAAAGCATATCAACTTAAAATATAATATTTGTGTTGAGTGTAAATCTGGAATAAGTATCAGCTACCTCATCGATCTTTCTCGCTTCTTCTCTGCAAGCAGCTTAACACGCTCCCTCACTAAATTCAMAACGACCATATCCACAAAATTGTCAAAAGTTTTCAGACTAGATCTTAAGGGGGTATTCTACTCTAGAAATCAAAAAAAATCAGGTGTAAAAAAAATGGCGCATCCTGGTGACATTGTTCCTGACTCTCCTGTTTTTCTGAAAAAAAAATCAAAAGAAATTCTTAATCAGTAAGGATACTGTTATAGTCCCTATTTCAGGGAACACGAAAAAACAAATTTTTGAAAAATGGCGACTGCCTGAGAATAAAAATCATTTCTTACGCTCTTTTTTGAAATTCCCGAATTTTTTTTAAATATTAAAAACAAAGGATTAAGCATTATATAAAGAAACAGGATAAAGGATTATATAAAGAAGATTCACACAAAATTTCAAGTAAATCGGTTGTATAGAACTTGAGATAATGCCGGTACCGTGTGGAAAAAAGTAGTTTCTAGAAAAACGCGTTTAAAAAAGTGAGTCTACCTTCCTACCGGGCGAGGTACTGCGTCACTAAAGTAACTGTAGCTCTCAAAATAATTTTAATTTTTAAAAATTCTTTGGTGGATATGTTTCTTAAGGGTCTAAGCTTCAAATATATGAAAAAAAATCGAAGTTTTCAAAATTCTTGAGTAGAATACCCAATTAATATCGTAGTCGATACCGTTATATATCAATTGTTAACAACCATGAGGCTTTTTTAGTTACCACGCAGACTGTACTGGTACCGTACTGGTACTGGTAGTGRTACTTTCACGCTGCTTACTGCCGCAACCTGGTTGGATCTGGAAAAAAGGCGAAGGAATAGTGTTGGTACCTTACAAAGCAATCGGTCTACCAATCGTTAACTATACTGCACCGACATGGTGGCCTAGATGTAATCTAACGCAGACGAAGAAGCTTATATCCCGTACGATAACACGATCCCTCTTGATATGCCTCACTGAGCACATGCATATTTCTGTTTAAGGAACTCCTTTCACTGCTCTCCAAGCAGTTTCTGCTCGAATGCTTCCATTAAAATCTCCCTTCTATTCAACTACTTGGAACCGCCTCCTAAAAGTATCAAGAAGCCTTTACTTCATTTTTTCGATGACAAAGAACAATACACCGACCAGACTACGGACGCAACTAACTTCAGCCACGGACTGAACGCCATAAACAGTGGAGCCATCAAGACCTTCACCAAGTCCCACTGAAGGAATGRCGTACTTAAAGTGAAACCACCAACCATTGTTCGGATATCAGTATAAAATTTGGAAACCTCGTAAATTCTGCAAACGATGTGTTAAAGTCCTTCGAAATTGGTTAAAGGCAACAAAAAATATGAAAATGGTGCTATGTCTGAACTCGATGACAAGCCAAGTCTTAAATTTGAAGAKGACAGCAGCCCGAAATTTCTTTCCCATTGTGAGTAAAATGAACAAGGCTCAAAAGCAAGAGTGTCCATTGCCGGAAGTGTCTTCAAAAATAAGCCTTAAAGTGCTTGCTTTTTGTGTCTATCGGTAGAGACCAAAATGTGTTGGGCTCAACAAGAGTTTATATTTGGCAAAAAAAAAACGTTGTGCATGAAACTTTAGCGCATCCTTCGCTCACCGCTTCACATAAAGCTAATATTGAAGAAGCTATTTTTAAAGTTAATTCCTAAAAATGGAAATTGCTTTAAATACTTTGTATTCCAGGTCTCTCAGTTGCATAGTTGAAAGAGGGGTGTTTGCTTTAGACCAGACATTCGACGRGTTACGGCTGTTTTAGAGTTCATCACAACCGCGACGGATTTTCAAAGAGCAAGACAATCTTTTAAATAGTATTGAGGCAATAACAAAGATGCTATCTGTAGAAAAATCATCAAAGCAATGTTAAAAGCTCTTCGAGGTTGCCAAATGCGTCTAAAACTTCATTCCTGGAAAGTAGTCGATTTCCAGAAAGTTTTAATGCGAGTGAAGAGCAAGAAACAGATACCAGGGAAGATGGAGCATGACTAATGTTGGACACTACATAGAAACCTTCCYGATGCACGTACCAAAAGTGGTATCACTGGAAAAATGAAATATGTTTAGCACTTTCTAATGGCTTTCTATGACAATAAGATGTTCTGTCTCTTCGACAATCCGGTCATTTCGAGGTTCCCTGCTTTCAATGTTGATTATCGTTCGAAAGAACAGTTTCTGGCATATATTTTTTGAAGAGGAGCCGAATCGCCTCTCCACGATCTTCGTTTACACTTTCAGCTACGTCTGTTATATTTTCTTCCCTGCGTGCTAGAGCTAAGCTAAGAAGAATTCATAAGTCTTTCCATGATGAATTGCCAAACAGCTTGCGTGGYTTGTCAAAAAAWGGCTATTGAAAAAAGTACCTCTACTTCAAGTAGCTCTCGTTATATCGATTTTATGAAAAACTGCACTTTTTTTATTCCATCTTTAGCATTTATTTCCATTGTGATTATTTATATTATCTAAGTTAATACAATAGTAATAATATACGTATGCGTAATTATTATTTCATTTTTTTACTTTCATATAGGTAAGTATATGTATATATAAGTATATATATATTTGTATTTTTAATAAATTCACGTTTAACTAATATAATTGAAATTATAGCATAGCAAAGGCTTATACAGGAGTATTGGTATTTACACTTACCACCTGTGCAGCTAGATTTGTGAACATATGGTTATAATAATAAAAATAATTACTATTACAATAATTATTTCAAGCTTTACATAATAATAAAAACACAAATAATAGTAATAATAGATAATTGAGCATAAACTATACCAGGAGGTAATAAAGTATTTCATTTATGCAAAAATTTGTGTACAARAATGCTAAGTTTATATAAATTTATAAAAAAGCAAAATAGTTTGACACTAAGTGCCAACTTTTCAAAGAAACCAGTTTGTGTGTGCATACCAACCATTAGTTCTTGCTGGCACAACACTGTGCTAACCACACACGACTTTTGACTTTTTGCCGCTTGCTACTGGCAAGCTGACTTGTGGCACCACACAAACGTTGAATGTCGTTGTTGCAAGGTATATAGTATAGCAAATKGTAGTGGGTATTGTATAATTCGAAKACATTTATRTAATATTATTAATAAAAGATTTACATACATACAAATGGGAGGAGCGTATAAAAAGGAATCGTTGCGAGCATTTTTGCGCCTCATACACAAATACTTATCAGTTAGTTAGAATACATAATTGAATTAATTCAGTTAATTGCAGCTAGTATATTATTGTTCTCTATGTAACTTTACTTTCGTTATCTGTGCCCCATACGCCTGAATAAGGTTAACAACGTGATCACTTCATTGTTATTATTATTATTGTTTTCATTTTTTGCTTTTTTTTTTTTTATTTTTTTTTGTAAAAAAAAAATGTTNAAAAAAAAAATGTTATAAAAATGTTTTATGTTGAATGTATGACCTTTGCTGGAGACCTCCGCCGCACACAGCATGGCTCACGGCTCATACGTGGCATAACGGTAATATTGTGTTTTAGTTTTCGCGCAGAAATTCGTGTCGCAAGGACATACATTGTTCACATTACATTCACAAATATTTTGCTTAATAATTATTATCTTTTTTTTTTTATTTTCTTCTTTTCAATTTTAAACTACGTGGAATAACTGCGCACTTAAATGCAGGCTATTTAATGCTATTGATGTTAGATATTGGAATTGTTTAACACTCAGCTTTGCCTAATAATATACCTTTTAATATAACTTGCTGGTAATTGTGATAATTCTATGTATAAATACTTGCAATACCTATTGGCGGCATAGTGTTTTGTCGAATTAGGCAGTGTACATGCGTACAGACATAAGTGCACGTGTGTCATTTCAGCTATTTTGCATCAGATTCACTTAAAAAACACTAAGTGTCATTGACACGCTACAAGCTCGCACACGTTTACACACATGGTTCCACGTAATTACCCGGAAAGAGGCCGGTCACACCGTCCATAACGCCTTCCCACCAACCGTCATCGTTTTTCTTTAGCACATACAATACGGAGCTTTCTTGAAAACTCAATTCGTCATCTTTATCGGCATAATAATCGTAGATTGCGACAACTGTAATTACCGCAAGACATTTGTACACACTTATATTTGTTGTGAAATATTGTTTGTACATACCCTTTTCGATGTAGTTCTTTGGCACCCAACCGGGTAAATTCTGATCCTCGGGCACGATAGGCGCCAATTGACCTTGTCCTGCTGATGTCCTTGGCCGTCCAAAGTCCTGATGTTCCTCCTCCGGTGGTGGTGGAGGTGGTAGTGGTGGCGACTGTGAGCCAGGTCTGGCAAAGTTCACACTGAAATTATTTCTTTAAAAGGGTGGACAAACAGTGCTTTATAAGATAAGAAGTAGTTATTCGAAATTMAAGGAAAAACAACTGATTTCAAGAGTGTAATTGCAATTATTGTTCTTTGTATTAAAGCATTATGTTCCATAACCAAGAAATGTGTGGTATTTTTAACATATATTGATAAAATACTGATAATTTATGATGAAATGTTTTTTCTTTATTTTACCTGTTACCATTCCTTTATGTGAGCAATTATGAAATAATATAAATGAATAACATTTCTTCTTATATTTTACAACATACAATTTAATATCGAAACTCGATAACTTATTAAAACACTTTTATACATTGTGCCGAAAAAAACACAGGAAAATTGTAATTAAACTTCACGGGTAAATATTTCAAAACAAAAAAAAATATTTTGCTAAGTTTGATAATTAACATGCCAAATATGAGCGCGATCTTTCATCCAGTTTGTTTACAGCAGCTGTTTAAGTCGGTGCACCTCAGTACTGCGTTGCTATTTTTATAATAAATAAAAATATCGAACAAAGAATWTGGGAAAAGTAAAGGGAAGGGCAGGGCGCGGTAGAATTTTTAACAGTCAAAAACGGTTTATCTTGATTTGAAACTATGAGACCTAAGGAAAAAAATCATACGTCAAAATTGTAGGTTAAGAATATGTCTACCACTTTTGTATAAACACTTTTTTCACATAACTTCAAAATAACCCAGCATTTAGGCAACAGTACGATCTCCGAAGAAATTGTTCTGATCGGATCACTATAGCATATAGCTATCATACGAACTAGCTTTTTTCATGCTTGTTACTAAGTTTACGACTTTCCAACACAATAAATTATATGACAGCCGGTGTCATAAAACTTTGTATAATTAATTTTTTAACGTATTCGCATTTTTTGTCAGTTATCGAGTTTSGACTAAACAGCAATCATCACTGAATAACGTACCGGTTGTGATTTCTGCCCAATGTGTGCATGCCAATGTGACTTTGCTCGCTTATTTCATGTTGTGAAACAGTGAGTGGCGATGGTGGCGCTAAAATGCAAATAATAATTAATTAATGAAGGCTGATTTTGCATTTATTTAATTAATATAGTAAATTTACACTTACGCGGCATACTGCTTCGATCGTCGTATGTTGTTGGCGGTGGTGGTGGCAATGATTGCATCATACCCGCTGATGGTAAATTGACATGTGTGGCTATTTGCTGACTAGGCGGCATAGGCAATGCACTATAGCCACCACCACGTTCACGTTCACTAACTACACTTGGCGCACCACTAGTGCTGCCCGGACCACCRATACCCATGCTGCTAATACCAGTGRCCGTGGTGCTTGAGGAAGCTGATGACATACGTTTTGGATGCCCAATCGGATAGTTGGGTGCATAGTGCGAMGGCACTTGTGGTGGATTAACAACCGGTGGCGTTCGATACTCTCGCGAACTTTTCCCAAGCGTTCCGGTATTACTCATTGACGATTTACCCAGTGTACCAGTATTTCCGCGTGTCATTTGCGGTGGTGTTGGTGGTTTCGTAGTTGGTGGCGGACCTACGGAAGGTGCCAGCGAAGATGTTGCCAAGGATTGTATAGACCCGTGACTAGATCCACGATGTTTTTGTTGACGTGTTTGAGTAGAATTAACACCATGACCTATTTCATCTAGTATTGAGTAGTCAATTGGCTTGCGTACATATTTGATTGGTTTTTCTGGATTAATGGGCGCGACTATTTTAAATTGACGTGAGCTAACTTTGTTAGCGGTAAGAACGCCAATTTCACTGCATTGAATATATTTATATATTATATGCACACAAAAATAAATTATTATCTTACCGTCGTGCCACTTTTTCTTTGTGAATATGCACAGTTTGAGCAATATGATTCATTTGTGATTCCATTTCGCATAATTGTTGTGCTTGCAACTCTAAAAGTTGCATATAACTATAAGCGAGGGTATTTATCTGATATGCCACACTGGCCAATGACTGCGTTGTATAGTTTTTGGTAGCCTCTAGTGCTGCTTTTTTATTCTCCTCACTAAACCAAAATAATATAGTAAATTAATAAGTATTGAAAWGTTATTCATAACAATCTAACACTAACCGATAGTACGTGTCCTCACAATAATCTGCAACACGTTCCAAATTTGTGTAACTATCACGTAAGCTTTGTCTGCCATCCGGAATTTCAGTACGTATTAATGATGCTAATTCGTCCATTATGTTTTCACTGGCCATGACCGACCATACGGCAACAGTTCAAAAATAAGTTGATTTCGCTAAAATAAAGATTTATTACAATTCTTTTATAATATTTATGTTGGTTTGTTTGTCTGTAGGCAACGGCAAAATATCTTCGCGGGTGTTGTCGCCCAAAACGTATTACTGCAGATATGTCAATAGACGTCAGCGCCGACGCCGGCAGCAACTTCAACGCAATCTACAACATAATTGGGAGCGCCCTGACGTGTGATTTCCTCTTGATTAGTTTACGATAAAAATAGCATATTTACTGTTCACATTCACTTCTTATAAATTTACCTAAATGTTTTGTCCACTTTCTGACAATTTAAAATGTATTTAATGTGCCAATATAATGAAAATATTTGCAATAAATATGAGCTCACATTTTTCAACTGGAAAAAATACGACGATGACGAACTATTTAACGGATAACAGGAACAAAAGAAAATGTCAAATAATATTAAGTGTTGCATTTTTTATTTTCTTAGAATATTTTTTGTATTGAAATTGTTTATTTCGATGTAATTATTTTATTTTATATTTTTTATAAGAATTGAATGTTTTACTAAATATAAAATTACATTAAAGTACCGTTTACACGTTTTATGAAAATATATGGATTTGTTATTCAAAACTTTACAGTGGTCGTAAAACTGTATCCCGCCAAAAACACCATTTAAATATAAAATTTGGGCAAGCGATTATTTTTCAAATTTTGTATAGTGGATTTAGAAAAATAAATATTACTGAAATAAAAATGTGTGAAGGAATCTATTGTGGGAACTGTTTCTTTAAGGAAGGTTCCCTAGATGGTTACTGAAATCAAGTGCTAAAAAGAGTCGATCAAGAAGACAAGTTATACACTGGTACAATAAGATTCCACTGGATGTGAAAAATTAATGCTAATTTACAGCACTGCCGAATTAATTTTCGCTTCTTTCCGCTATGTAAATTTGATAGAATTAGTCGGAATAACCAAGCTTATWCTTGATCAATGCATGTAAAACATTACCACCGAGAACGTGGATATGATCTTAGATCACGTGTTCTTTATGCCGACCACAAGTTGCTATGCCAGAATCATCGGCTAATGATTTGTAAAAATAAAATTAGCAAAATGCCTTAAGGTAAGTGAGCATTTAACTATTTACTTTATACTTTTTAACACGAAAAATAATATGTTTATTATTAAAGATCTTTTGGCAGAGATAAATTCAACAGTATCAAAATAGTATATGAAAAAGTTAATGTATATACATAAAGTTCCGTGAAAATACCATCTTAAATGAAATAAGATTATTGAGCCCTATATACATTATTTATTTAAATTTGGCATCTATTTTCTTAAATATTAAATTAGTTTATTCGAATTTGTTGCAAAAAGTTTGAAAAGACCGCCCGTTGGCAATTTAAGAAGACACTACAGCTCTGAATGCCGGAATATAGTTTTTTCAATAGTATCTTGTATTTTTTCTACTTTACGCGTTTGTTTCTTAATATGGTCTTCCATATCTTCGAAGCGACCGCTTTTGTCCTTCTGCTTCTCGTTCTGAAAAWAATATATTTTATTAAGAAATAATCTGTAAACATTGATTTCGAATACCTACTTTGTATTTCTCTTTTTGCATTGCATGCTCAGCATGTAGATTGCGAAGTTTGAGTAGCCTGCTCTCGAAATGGTGCAATTCATATTTAATAGAACTCAATTCCTTTTCCGTAAAATTGCTGGCTTGTGCAACACGCCATAGACCTTGTACTTTTGGTTCAACAAATTCCTGACTATGCGGACCGGAAGAAACCAAACGCTCCAAACGTTCATAATGATCTTTAATACCATGATGGTGATCGCGCAATTTGTTTATATCGCTTTCATATTTTTTCAAATTCATTTCAGGTGTGTTAATTTCATTTTCATTGGGATCATTTGCGACCATGTTAAATATATCAAGCTCATCTTCATTTACGGCATCTATAAATGTATAAAATTAATAATACATTACCAGCTATAAAATATTACATACTTTCATGCTTTGGGCCAGTCGTGGAACCTATATCTTCCAATAAACTGTAGTAAACATCGACTTTATCTTGATGATGTTGAAATTCTTCCTTAAGTGAATCTAGTTCTTCCTTAGTGAATCCCGCTACTTCCGCCTTAGCCCAAAGGCGATTTAGTTTTTTRTCCTTAAATGCACTTTTATTCAAATGGCTATCTTCTGGGTCATAAAATTTCTAAGGTTACGACGTTTAATAAATTGTGTTGTCGTTTACTTTAAAAGTTATATACCACCTACCTTATATGGTTTAACCTTGTCTTTATCTTGCGTATCTTCGAAATGTTCCAACAGATCATACGTGCTCATTATACCAACCAATTTTTGGCGTAGTTCAGCTTCTTTAATGCCTTCCTTATCTTTATGCTGTGAGCTCAATTGTTTCCATGCAATCTCTTCCTTATCTTGTATTTTAAGTTCCATATACAAAGACTTTAGTTTTGGCTCAGTCAGTCTCTATTTACATAAAAAGTAATATTAGTCCTAATTATTTGTAACCTATTTAGGTATGTGTATAGTATTGTTATCACTTACATTTTGTGCCTTGGCCCACACCAAATTTAGTTTGGCCATWCGGAAAGGTCGTTGTAGATTACGGAAGTCGGGGTCATATCGCTCAGTTGTAAGTTTAACCTCGCCTTCATGCGGTTTTTCTTTCGATTTGTGTTGTTTTTTTTGTGTGTTGTATTGTTGTTCATTAGCTTCACGAGAATATTTCTTACTTTGTTTTTTATCGCCAATTGCCAAGTGCATTTGCAAGAGCAAAATCACCAGCACAATGTGCATAAAAATCTTCATAATTTAAACTTTTATTATAAACTAATCTAAGAAAAATCTATACCGTATGAAAAATTTAATTGCYGAAATTGTTACAAAGTGCCGACGGTGCAGATTAGTGTTGTTAATATTTTAGAAGAGGGATGTTGTCGAACCGATTACTTGTGGATAATTTGTAGTGGTTACTTAATCAGTGTTAGACGTATTTATTGCTATAAWATATTTTATGATATTGTAAGTTTTACGTAAGTTTTACTCAATTCTATATTCTTTGGAAATATAGATTTTAAATTATTTATCACTTGGTATTCAAATCTTTGTATTTCATAAGTTTCATACTAAAATTGTAGTTACTGTCCACAACAGCTGATATCCACAATGCTCTGAGCCCCCGACAACACTGAATGCTTTCATAAAAAGTGGATGCTAACTGATGTAAACAAAATAAAACACGGTACAAAACAATTGATTAAATAYGGTCGGAAATAACAAGTGAATAAAATTATGCTCTAATTAAATATGGAATTTTAAAAAAAGCCGGATAAAGTATAGTGTTGCAAAGCAGTGTAACAACAACGATATAAGTGAGTTATTGTAGAATAACTGAAAGGCGAAATCATAATGGCMGAACTTTTTGAAACATTAGTCAAGAACACTGACGTCATCTTTGTGTCCTCGTTCTGTTGATTGAGAATAATTTGTTGAAATATATATAATCTATTGATACTTTGTGAATAGCTTACACAAAGGCTTTGATGCGAAATTCTAGTTGTGATGCGTAGGTATAAGCCGAGCTGTTAATTTAAGGCAGTAGGTGTGGCCGAGGTGGCATACGTCATCAATACGAATTTAGCCACATATCTGTAGTAAAACTTTGCTATTTTTAGTTGAATATCATTAAAGAAGTATGCTAGAGTGATGATCTATGTTGAAGTACATGTGTTTGCGAAATCGTTAATAATAGAATAACTTTATAAATAAAAATGTTTATATATATATGTATACATCCACGCTTTTGTATTATGTACAATTTTTATTTTAAAGTTTATTTTATTTTGCAGCGTTTAATTGAATGATCAATAGCCCAAAATTTTTGCACACAAAATGAATCGTTCTGACTCGATTAGGCGCGATCGCTCCTTCGACAGCGTTCTTAACAAGTTGATGCGTATGCGTTCGCAGAATCATGAAACCTTCAAAGCAGCCATGTACAATTTTTTAATAGCCGCTGGCATTGCAGCATTTGTTGCCGTCTGCTTTATACTGGGTCCTTTTGTACGTCCTTTACTCTGGGCTTTCCTGATGGGAGCAGTGCTCTTTCCTTTCAAGAGACGCTTAGCGCAATTGCTGAATGGTTGGTTTGAGCGCTTGGAGGAACGCGATTCTAATGTATTGGTCTCAATATGTTTGGCGCCGCTTGAAGCTACCGAACATTGTGGCAGTTTAGTGGTGAGTTGGCTGCACGAACACTGGCAATTGTTGACAGCAGGCGTAGGCGTAGCTGCATGTATMAAATTATTGGTGTTATATGCACCCAAAGGGTTTCTCTGTGCCGTTTTGCGCTTTGTAGTTTTCTCGCATAGTACCTTCGTGCAGTTAATTGGTTTTCTTAATATCTACCTGGTGAGTACTCATACCTACATTATCCGGCAACTCCAAMAAGCACTCACAATATTTATTTTACAGTTAATTGCAATAATTGTTGTATACTTGACATCGGTATATTTCTTTTGGAAATCAGAAAATAGCACCAAGTTCGTCATGGCTGGCCAGTCGCTTTGGGTGGCTATAGTTAGTTATGGTTGCAGCTTTTTAGGCGCACTACAAGTACCTGCCTTTATTTTGATAATGTTGTATGTAGGTATATCAATTATATACCATATGCGCACTGCAGAAGGTTCTAGCAGTTGTATAGAAAAATTAAAAAAGTTGCTAGACAAAAATGACTTTGAAAAGTCGGTAAGCAACATCAGTGTGAAGAAGCAAAGTTTGCATTCCGACGYCGAAGATGTCTCCTTGAGCGAAACATTGGATTCACTAGACAATACGGAGTTGTTAGATGAAAATGAAGTGCCACACCTAAGTGGCATCTACTTTAAATGTTTATTCTACGCATGCATAGCAACATTTTTGTATCGCAATGTTTGGATGTTCATATTGGCCGCCATACCCATATCGCTGCATCTGTTATACACATTGGGGAATGTGACAGGCTTTACGGCATTCATATCAAATAAAATCAATGAAGCCTATGAAAACTTAAAGGTAGTTTCTGTTTTTAATTGTCAATAATTTCATATTAAACCATATTTTCGTAATAATCTACAGAGTTGGGCTATTGAACATCATTCTGCCGTACTGCCGCTCTGTTTGCCTGGTGTACTCGAATTGAATTACAAAATAAACGCCATAATACGCGATTCATTAAAGTCCTCCGTCGACTTGGTCACWTCCATACTGATGATAATACTCATGCTGTTAATTATCGTCTTTCTTGGCGTATTTTTCTGTGTCAATATCTATTCGGAAACCATTGAGGTAGCTTACTTGGSCAAAGATCTGATAAACAAAACAATTACTGATCGTCCGGAATTGATCGATATATTACCTGAGAATATACAGTCATCGATTGATGATGCCTTGGATAAYGCGCATCATTATGGGCGTCGGAAAATCGAAACGTACATCGATGATTGGCTAGCCGAAGCCGATTCCGTACATGCCACTAAGCTGAAGGAACAAATTTTAGATGTCTGGGATCGTTTAATACAGTACTGGATTGATGTTAATAAATCTGATTCCGCATATGGACCACGTGTGCCAACAGATGCGCTCAAAACTACGTTCGGTGAAATTGTTGATAATCCTGGTAAGTTAAAATATTCCACATGCAGTTGCTTCATTTGTGTTTTGTCTCTTTAATACACTTATGACCCAAATGCAATGACAACTYTACTAACAATTTGCTTTAAAAAAGTGTTATAAATATATTTTACACATTGCAACATTAATACTCATACAAACTCTTTATACTATGTAACAATACTGTTTGTAAAAAGCGGCATTATCGATTGAAGACGATTTTTTTTTAAATTTATATTTAACACTTCTAAGGAAAATAGCAAAAGTCAAAGACTTTTGAGAAAATTTTAACAATTCGATTAAACTAACCTTATCTACAAAAATATCGGTGTCGGAAAATAAGTGCTTTCTCTTTCGARTATCATCACTTATTTTAAAAAACTTAAAAAATACTAAATTCACGTTTTCTAACATTTAACAAAAGCACACAAACTTTCTATTAAGTTTAAACAGCCATAAAATCTTAATGGATTTTCTACCATGCCAAGTTTGAAGCTCAGAAACGCCTATATTCACACCAATGTGAGACTTTTCTGAAGAAACGCTCTGAGAAAAGTAAATCATTACACCATAATAAAGTGAGTATACCTAAGTTTTCGAAAGAAACTTTCGCGCTCCACCTTAAGTTCATCTAAATTTAATTGAAATGCACCCGAAGTATATCAGCGTGCTAAGTATGCTATGATAACGAGACTTCCTGCGACTTGTCAACGATATTTTCCAATGTACATACACACATATGTACATACTTGTRCAAACACTCCTACTTGTATTCTTTGAAGGATTTTCGTTTCGTTTCGTTTTGGTTCGTTTTCCCTCTTGTTGTACTTGCTCATTGCTCACTGCATGTTTCAAAAGCTAACCAATTGCAATGTGTTTTTAATAAAGGACATTTTAAAGAGCTAGTTTTAGTGGCAAAACAGGGCATTATCGGCTGGGCGAAGAGCAACACACAAACCATACTGGAAGTGGCCGAATCTCTGTGGCACATCATACGCACGAATCTCTCGATGATCATGAGCTTTACGGGTGATATTTTATCTTTACTACTGTCTGGCGGTCAGGCGTGTGTGGAGTTTATACTTGATATGGTAYGTAGTCTGTTGTTACACAAATATTTTATATGTAAATATAATATTTTTCAAATTTTTTTGTGCCTCTCACTTGCAGATTGTCTTCTTTACCGCGCTATTCTATTTGCTATCGAGCAGTAATACGAAATATGCGCCACTACARGTTACCAAATATTTGGGCTTCTCAACGTCTGGCTCTAAAATTGCCGATGCTTTGGAGAATTCCATTTCAGGCGTAYTAATTTCCATGTTTAAGTGTTCCATTTTCACCGGTCTCTTCACATGGCTGGTGCATACAGTGTTTGGCGCGCGCATTGTCTTCCTGCCATCRGCGTTGGCGGCCATTTTGTCGGCTGCACCATTTTTGGGCAGCTATTGGTGTTCGCTGCCTGCRTTGTTGGAGTTGTGGTTAGCACAAGATCGCTTCTACGCCGGACTAGTGCTCTTCCTACTACAATTCTTCGTGCCACCCTATTTCGAGGCCGCCATCTATGCGGAGATGAAGGGGTAAGTTTGTGCGAAATGTCTAAATATTTCTATACCCAACGCAGTGTATATTAAATTTGGCAAAAAGTTTATAACTGTCGGTAGAAAATGTCGTGGTTTGTCACAAAAAAGTAATAAACATAAAAATTAGCACCGGGACGAGTTTAGTCGATTTGGTGGTGTTTGTTTACTTCCCTCAGTTTTTAAGACATCGTTCTGAAATKTTGTTTGTTGGAATCGACAATATTGAACCGCAATAGCATATAGCTGCCATACAAACTGACCAATTAATCT